TTCGGGATTCTGCTTCCAACTCGGTTCACAGACGGGGTTCTTGCAATGAACGGACACGTCTTTTGGAATGGTGTATCGTATCCAGCAATGTGCAATGCAGGTGGCCCACTGGCCACTTTACAGTTGGGTCCTTCGGACAGGTTTTAACGTGTTGAGAAATGCAACTAGGCATTGACATGATGGCCCTGTCGCCATTTGCCTTTGGCCCTGCCCCGAATTCTTGCTCAGGCACAGACACCTCGCGGAGTCCAAGTGGAGCGTCGCTACGGGCTGAAAGACAGTGAGGCCGAGTTGCTACGACTTCTGGTGAGGCCCCGAGCGTTTCGAAGCCGCTTGCATAAGCTAGCTAGGCTTCGCAGCTAGGTGCCAGTGGCCACAGCCCAGCACCCAGAGACAAGGTCATCCGCGAGTGTGCGCGAAGCCGCGTCGTTTGTCGCTTCCTTGGCGACCATTGCGGCAACTTGTCAGATGGGAACTCGCCCTTGTGTAGCCTTTGCCGAAATTCGCGGCTGGATGTGCAGGACAGCGAGGGCCTGAATGCAAGCCGTTCGGTCGCTGCGCTAATTGCAGCCTGTCGCTGTCATGCTGACTTGGCTTGAAGGACTTTCTACAGGAGAAGCGGCAGCACATTAACGAGGGCATTGTCCGTATCCAGGCTCTGGGTGTCCCCGTCTTTCCAGTTTACATTTAGAGTTGAAATTGTGGGTAGGGTTAATGTGCGTGCAACCACACCCAACTCAATGACATGTGCAATTGAAACACTTCAGCAGACACAGCCTATCTTGAGTTTCCGATTTGTTTGATTCCAGTGTAAAGAAGGATGTGTGCATGTCTGAAAGAAAGAAAGAATGAATCTATGTATGCATGTACGAATACATAGGCAAACAAAGGAACGAAGCTAGAACAAACAAACATGTCACGTTTAGATGCATGTGTACACATGTTGTAGACATAGTTTCATGGTGTGTATGCATGTATGCATACATGAAGCATGAATGGATGCACGTACGTGCTTACATTCGTCAGTCAGTCAATCAGTCTGTCAGTCAGTCTGTTTGTCTGTCTGTCAGTCTGTATGTATGTATGTATGTCTGTATGCATGCATGTAGGTATGTATTTATGCACATTGTATGTATGTGGGCATGTGTTCATGTGTTTAGGTATATAGGTATTATTTGCCTTTGTGTGAATGTGTGTACGTATATACATTTTCAGATGCATGGATAAATTGCATCCTATCCGCTTGCCAGGATGGTGGCTATGGCGAGTCGAAGGAGCCCACGGTCTCGCCTGAGGCGGTGCATGCGCTGATGGGCAAGGACCTGCAAATCTTAGCTTTCACACCTCAGACTCAGAATTGAACCATATTCTACCCCTTTTACACACACTCTTCCGAACCCACGCGCTCGCTCGCAACACGCGAACCTGCGCACACAGACGTATGTCCATGTGCCAGGACATACTTACATTGGCTTTCAATGAGATTTCTCGCGTTTCATCTTGAGATTCGAGATTGCCAGATCCCACACCCTCCTGGCATCATGGGAAGGGTTTCTTCTGTGATTTATCTGCGGTACACCTGTGATTCGGTTGTGCGATTTTCAGTGATTCCGTCAGGGTCTGCTTCGTCGCCTGTAATTTGGCTGTGATTCTGCTGGGAGGCGCGTCCCCACACCACAGCCAAATCAAAGTCGAATCACAGCCAAACCACAGCAGCATCACAGCCAAGGCTTAGAACCTAGAACTCAGTTCGAGATGTTGTGCCATGTTGAATCGCATGCCATCTTTCTCTTGGAAGACAAACAAGTCTGCAGCCGAAGCTTTTGTGGCTTCAGGGGCTGGGGTTCATTGTGTGTTTACTGTGGCCGGTGTGGGGTTGTTCTCATGCTCCAAAAGTGCCTGCAAAGAGGCTCATTTCTAGATGGAGCAGCGGCGCAGCGCAGGAGCTCAGCACCGAGCAACGCCTCAAGCTAAGCTCTACGGTCATCGATGCTGTGCTGAGAGGCGGATTTGAGCCGGGTTCGGTTTGGGTTCTGTTGCCCCGGAGAACTTGAGGCATGTCTAGAGCCAGCCAGTGTTGTTAACACTGAATATTGTCTCGATCGCGGGTTCGCGGCAGGGAACACATGATCTTGCTGGAATGTTAGGGTGCGAAGACGACGGTTTGATCACCGCATCTCCGTTAATCATTTCCTTTTGGTAGGCTTGCGGGCCCCAGGAAGCCGTCTTGTCCATAGCCTGGGTCGAGCTTCCTTTTTTGGACCCAGCCTCGCATTTTTGATTATTTTGGAAATGAGGAACGGCACAGACAAAGTTGGAACATGTTATTCTGACCCCAGTTTTCCGGCATCCGGCTTGTAGCCATTCTAGCCTTCCTCAGAGATGCTCCGTCAAATTGTGCTGCAGGATACATACCCAGTTAGTTTGCCGGAGAAACCTCTGCTGGCAGGCGATTCTCCACCCGAGGAGCCACGCCGGAGTCCGGATGCTCCTCCAGCTCCGATCCCGGAGCCTGCAGATCTGATTCCGGAGATGCCAAACGGGGCCGGCCAGGATGGCCAGGTGCAGGGCGGTGCAGGGTTTTGAGGGGCCCGAACAAAGCTTCCAGAAAGAGCAAGTTTTTAACGTACACGGGGTTTTCTACCGATCTTTCGTAGCAAGGCATCAAGGCCTCTGTGTTTCCCTTGCTGCGCTACCTCGTGTGTTCCCTGCTGTCAGGAGGTCATTGCAACTGCATCGGAGAGCCTCGGTTGCATGGGACCTGCAGTTGTCTAGTTCGCTTGGCCATAGAGTCTATCCGAATCTGTCCTTCTTGTCTTGCCATTGCAGGAATGAATGCACTATTTATTCAGATGCCGGCTGCTCCCCTGTGCCGAAGCCAAGGACGGCCGGTGAGGACGACGCAGAATTGTTGCAGCAGCCCTACCGCGAGTCGCTGGACTACCTCAATGACCAATTCAGCCTCCTCGAGTGCGAAATCCGCATCGCCGAACACAGGCGACAATCTACCAAAGAAGACGTGGGAATCGAGGACGCTTCTGCGTCGTGTGGCTTGTTGGAAGATGCCGAAACAGGGCAGGGCCCTGCAAGAAACTCGGTTTCTGTCCAGGAGCCGTTTCTCCTGAGATCCCGCAAAGTCAATGTCTTTGAGCACGAGGCGAAAAGATGCTCGGACAGCAACTCATTCAAACCACAGCGGCCCTGCCCAAGTCTGTATGAGATACATGTCCTCCGAGTTGCGGCCACAGACACAGAGGCATATATACAAAAAGGTACATATATATATATATATATAAATCTATACATACATCTCTCTCCCGCTCTCTCTCTCTCCCCCTCTCTCTCTCTCTCTCTCTCTCTCTCTCTCTCTCTCTCGCTCTCGCTCTCGCTCTCGCTCTCTCTCTCGCTCTCGCTCTCTCTCTTTGTCGCTGTCTGTCTCTCTGTTTCTCTGTGTCTCTTCGGTGTAGCTTATAGGTGTACATATATGGATACCTAGATACAGATGTGCTCGTCGTATTCGGCTGTGATCATGCACTGAAGTCTTACAACTTCCAGTTCCGGAGAATACGTCTGCTCACTCCCCACTGTAGATAGTTACATAGAAAGGATAGATAGTCTCACGCGATGAGTAGGTATATCGGTAGATAAGTACAGGTGTAATGTTGGCCGTTAGAGTCATCAGAACACCTCCTGCAAGAAACCGTGAGTAATCAAAGCAGTGGGCACCAGCATGGATGCGATCTGTCGGTCGTACCATTGCATTGCCTGTCGTAAGAGTCATGCTGCAGATCTCACAGCAGTCAGGCCATCTGAATTTTTCAGGGCCTTTCCCTCTTTTCCGTAGCATGGAGATTCTGGTCGGCTGTGGGTCAGCCTGTCATATAATGTCCACGCGGTGAGTAGCAGCAGAGGCAGTCTCTCAAAAGCCTCGCCGAGTGGAAGGGGGTCGAAACCGTATAGGCCGTTTGCCTTGCCAGGAAAGCTGGCCCTGGCCCGCATCAGCCACCGCCTGAAGCTCACCAAAGAAGCAGGACTTGAAGTCCCGCGATTGGAGGTGCGGCGAGACCTGCCCTCTCTTGGGGATCAGGGTGTGAAGGTTTCCTGCATTTTGAGCTCGGCACTCGCCGTTCGCGTCAGCGAATTCGACCCAGCACGTCTTTTTGCGAAGAGGCGCTACATCAAAAGACCAAGTTGGATGACTTCGAAAAGAATGTAGTGCCTTGGCTGCAGTGCTGGCACCTTCAGAAGTGAGTTGTTGATGGTCGAAAATTGAGGTGGTAATGCTGGTGGGAAACACCTTGTCGCCCAAGATCCAAGCCACACTAAATGTGGGGGAAAGGCGCTTTCTGGCAAACGCGCCTCTGCAGGCCATCACTCCGACATGTGCGGATTCGGGGAGGGAGGCAGTATTCTGACCGGATGTGTTGAGATAACTGGCCCGGAACAGGTGAGGGTCATCCTGGAAACTTTCTGCCGCGACTTCAAAGAGGAGGTCCAGAAGCGCGTCTATTTTTACAAGAGCAGCCGGCTGGCCAGTGGCCAGGCTGCATCGGCGCTTGGAAACAAAGAGTGGGGGAGGGGGGCAAGAGCCCCAGAACTGTGGTTCTGTGCAATGTGTAGCCGAGGCAGTGGCATCATCCGCATTGGTGCTGGGGCCAGGAGTGGAGATCTCACATGCCACACTGTCCACATAGACCGCCGCATTCTGGACTTTGTTGTCGGGCTAGATACCGAAGCTCGGCCGGCACGGGTGGCTTGCAATGCAAGAGCTGCAGAAACTACGTAGATTCTCGTAGCTTATGCAGACTCTAGCAACTGAGAGAGTGCAGGCACAATTGTAGCAGACGTAAGAGTAGCAAAAAGTAGCACTTACATCCATTGCATCCAACGTGGATGTCGAAAACTCACACAAGGCCCAGCGACAGACGGCAGAAGTGTCATGTCCTGAAACACCTTTGTGGCTGAGAAGGCTGCGAAATGCATGCAGCATTGCAACGACCCTGGTTGGCCTGGGATCATGAAACTGACCATGGCCTGAGCAAGGAATTAGGCGGAGGCTCCCCAAAAGATCACCCAACTCTTGTCTTGGCTTGAAAGCCCTTCATCCAAGGAGATCAACGAAGTTGTGGAGGGAAGCAACTTGTACAAACCCAGCGCAACGCTTCAGCAGCTGGTGCTGCCCGAAGACATGAAGAGCAACATCTTGGCTTTGGTGGATAATTTCGAGCAGCTCCTCGTCCCCATGTAGGAGCTATGCAAGAGAGTGGCTAGTTTAGAGCTTGTGAGACCATTTTTGGCCTCCGTTAAGCAGAACTTGGGCAGTTGACGATGTCGGCTGGGAAGCCGTCCTCACCTTGCAATCTCCACTGCTGAGGTTCTGCAAGTACAGGAAGTCCACGGGTCTCGATGACGTCATTGCGCATGGGTCTCTTGCCTGAAGCTTCATACAATCCACACCCCTACGAGAAGTTTAAGTGCGAGACCCCTCAGTGTCACATCGACTCCAGACACGGAGTCCGGCGTAGCGCTTGCGCGCAGGAGGGCAGGGACTTGGGCCCCTGTCTCCACAAGCCCGGGAAGGAAGAAGAGAGAGAGAGAGAGAGTGATCTATCTATTCATCTGTCTATCTATCTGTCTATCTATATATATATATATCGATATCGATACACGTATATATACATGCGCACATATACAATAGATCAGTACTAACCACATAACTGAACAAATGAAAGATGTGTGTATATAAATTTTTAGGCAGAGATATCGGAGCTGAGATAAATGATCGAAGAAGCATGAGCCAAGAGCGCAATTCTTCACCACTTCAGGTCCGGGCTGGTGTTAATGTTCTGTGGTCCGAGTGGCACCGGAAAGACACTCATGGTGAACGCCCTCGCTGCCCACTTGGCGAAGCGAGTCTTGCTCGTGGCATGGTCGCATGTTCGTGGTTTGTGATCTTCTCTTGATTATTGTTATTTTATTGTCATGATCTAATTATTACTAGTCGCAGCCTTGTTATTATCATCATTATTATCATTACTATTGTTCTTATTATTAGAAAGAGGCTGCAGGCAACGGTGATTTTGCAGTGCGGGCCCGAGTTACCCGGTTGATGCTTTACATAGATCACTGTGCCAATGTTTCAACCGCGGACACAGTCAGTCTCAATTCTGCCTTCGTTCTTGGACCCCAACGCGTGATTTTTTGAAACTCGTAAGTCTTAACTCTTTCTAGCAGCCATTGGCGACTCTATGAATTATGAATCTCTATGGCCCAATGAACTGGCTTCAAGAAGCCCCGAACATGGGACTCAGATTCTGCTTATGTTCTTCGACGTCGGTCCGGTGGGGTGTTATTCCAGAGATTCTACAGTATGAGCTTTCTTGCCGGGCTATTTAGCCCCCATCATGACACTATATCATCCACAGAATCGGTTTTCCGAAAGGGGCGCCTAGTTTCAGTCCTTCCCCATTGGGGGCATCATTTACGAATCGTCATGCTGTTCCAAAACAGAACCCGTCACAGCTTCAAGCGGGAACCACATTGAGGAGGCGGGATAATATATGTTAGTATACTGTATAATGTACTATAATATAGCTTGCGCTCTGCAAAGCCTTATGTGCAGGTGAATTTCAAGACGCTGTACAACCACCACAGTGAGCCTGGTCTGGGCGCGGATGAGGATGGTTCCAGCGTCTTGAAGCTCTTCCGCGAAGCGGACGCCCAGATGTGCACAAGTTTAGGTAGCTAGGCCCAGCTAGGGCTAGGATAGGGGGATAAAAAGTGGCTGTGGCCTGGTTTTGCATTCTTCAGCATTTCTCGGTGTCCTTCTGCTGCAGACTTCCCAAGTCGGTCCTAGGGCATGGTCGTCTGCTTTGGCTGGGCTGGGTCGGGAAATGGGAGCCAGTGATTCCACAATTGCTACCCCTGTCACATCGCGTGGCTGTTCGAAAATCCGTTCACTTCCTCAACGCAGAAGAGGCTTCTCAAAATCGGCCACAGGAGATTCTGCCAGTAATTAGTCCTTCCAGTCCCGGAGCTGCAGCGGAACATGCAAGCCAAGGAAATGAGCGATGCAGTCTTGTTCTTTGATGAGCAGGGCTCTCAGAAGCCTGCGGCGTGGGGAGAGGGAGAAAATGTAGCTTAGCAAATGAGCGATTGATTTTGAGGAAGACCATGCATGGCTGCTTGAAGGATGCATATATATATAAATATGTATGTATGTATGTATGTATGTATGTATGTATGTACGTACCTGCGTATCTATCAAATATCTTTGTGTCTGTCTATTTATCTATCTATCTATCTATCTATCTATCTGCCTGCTTATCTATCTATTTATCTATCTATTTATCGATCTATCTCATCTTATCTTATCTTGTATTATCTTATCTTGTCTTATTTTGTTATCTTATCCTATCCTATCCCATCCTATCCTACCTATGCATCTATCGATTTATCTATCTACCTGTCTGTCTGTCTATCTATCTGTTTATCTATCTATTTATCGATGTCTAGTCTTATCTTGTGTTATCTTATCCCATCCTAGCCGGTCTATCTATGTATCTATCTATTTATCTATCTATCTATTTATCTATCTATCGATCTTTATCTGTGTGTATTTATATATGTATGTACATGTACAGCTGCCTGTGAACACAAATCTGCATGTTTATGAGAAGCTACATGTGTATACATTCGTGAGTCCTCACGAGGGCATGCGCCGGCCACAGTGCCGTGCATGTTTGGGGTGAATTAGAATGGACAATTTCCCGCCACAGTCCGGTGCTCATTTTCGACTTCAAGTCGTCTGAAGTCGTCTGAAGTCTCTTCGCTGCCATACTCACGCCGGGATTGTCGGTGCAGAAATCCTGACGTTCTAAGGAGTTGCATGGGGACTAAGAATTGGTGACGTCGCCCACAATGCGCCCTGCGTTTAAGCCCAATGCTTTTTGTTCCTGTTTGGGTGGGTGGGGGATGGTGGGTGCGGGGAATAAGAACGTCATATTCAGATTGCGTCCATGCCCAAAACACTGGCACCTACAGCGATTATTCTGGTTGTTTGCACAACATACTCTGCAAGGATTTGGAACAAGACACGTTGTCACAAACATCCATGCCTGTGGCGACCATGCCCAAATGCTGGTATTTACAGCGCTTCTGCTTTTTGTACAACATACCGTGCAAAGATGTGGAACAAGACACGTTGTCACAAGCATCCATGCTTGTGGCGACCATGCCCAAAACCCTAGTTAGCTAGTATTTACAGCGTTTTTACCCTTTGTACAACATACCGTGCAAGGATGTGGAACAAAACACTTGTCACAAGCGTATAGAGCCTTGGCCGGCCTCTGCAGGAATTGTAAGGCTTGACAAAGTTTCGCTCGAATCTGCGCGCAGACCCTGCCGCCGCCCCTTCTGCTTGATTCGTTTTCCTGTAAAGTGTGCGTGTTGCCAGGCTTTTGGCAACGTGCAACAACAAGGTATATGCAAAAACGCAAGACGCATTACAGGTGCCGTTACCTACGAATTTCCCAGAGTCCGCAGTCGTATTCCCGCAATAATGCTGCACATCTTTTGATGCTACTTCTCCTGCTGTCACGGTCCCGCGCATTGAAACCTCCCGAAACTTAACTCCCGCCGTTGATTTTGGCCGCGACCCGTGTTTCCAGCTTCCCAAACCGTGCTCTTGGCACGGCTCGGTGCCTATCCTCATCTCGAAGTCGTTTCGCGCCACGCTAGGGCATCCCTCGTGCTCTCGCGCCACAGCCTGGTGCTCATTTTGGACTTGTAAGTAAGGCTTGGAAATGCAAGGCATGCTCTTGGAATGGCTCTTGTCGGGCATTCCAGATCATGTTATGTAGCAGTGTGGTGGACTACAGGTGAAGTTCAGCGCGTCTTCGGGATGGGTTCGACAGTACTCGTTACCAGTATCATGTTTGACATTTCTTCGTCCTCCCTCTCCGATTTGCAGGTGCGAGTCGCTCTTTTCGCAGCGCTCCACAGGCGGCAACTCCGAGATGACGGCTTTGCTGACCGCTATGGAGAGAGATTCCACCTAGATTTGGAGATTGTTTTTTGGGTTTTGGGGCTTCAGGGCTTTAGCCGCCAGTTTAGAGCTGTAAAAGGAGCTGAAAAGCTTGAGTCTTCGGTTGCGGCCTGCAGGGCTCAAAGCAGGGACCAGGGAGCCCGATCTGTCATTGGGTGGGTTCCTGGGAGGGTCAAACAAAGGTCAGGGTGTTGCAGATCCCATTTTTCTTTCCTACGATATGGCTTATGACCCTGTCGTAGTATGTGGTGGCCATGCAAGGATACGAGGGAATGATTTTCCTGGCCACGAACCGCCCTTTCGACCTGGATGAGGTTGCGCGGCTTGCAGCGTCGCAACTTTTTCTTGTGCTGTCTTGCTGCATCGCAACTTGCAGGTGTCTGACAACCGCAGGGGAAGTAGCATTGTTTTCAAGCAGAGGCCATGTATCGTCGGATTACCTCGGTCTTCACCTTCAGCAAGCCCGACCACATCCAGAGACTCGAGATCTGGAACCTCTATACTAAATCAGGTGGGGTCCCTGGGATTCATTGCATTTCACACCAGCCGGTTACCAAGTCCTGAGTTGATTGTGCAGCTTGTGCCACGCCATACCAGATTGCATGGCACCAGTGATGCCATGCAGCAACGCGTCAGTGTGTGTGCTGGGTATGTGTCTCCGTGCGGCGTATGCGCGTGTGCGCACGTGCGCTTTCCAGGCTGTACGGTCTCCTTGATGCTTCATTTTTGCGTGAGAGATAGGTGTCCCTCTGGCTCCGGGAATCGACTGGGAGAAGATCGCCATGAAGTTCGCTCTCACGGGGGGCTACATCAAAAACGCTATCGTGAGCGCTCTGCTCTTGGCCATCTCACGTGGCTCTGCTTGGCTTTGATGCGACGAATCCACTAACTCCAGCTCCTCAGCCCAGCCCAGAACTTGCCGAGGGAAGCATTTCGTGAGCAGTTCACAGAATTCGCTAATTTAGGGGTGGCTGGGTGGCTGAAGGGAGTCAACCTGCCATGTACTTAACGGCAAACAACCTCGACCTGCCATATGCTGAGCTCATGGGTATACGGCTAGTATAGGAAAGTAACTATTTGATGGCTTGGTTGTGACTATCGACCCCTTGGAGAAAACTGCGCTTCCCCATGATGTTGCAAGTGTTCCCCATTCATGCTGCCCCGGATGTTTGAGAACCTGATGCACGAACTGTTTCCGGCCGGATGTCTTCGTCTCGACGCAGCTAAGGCGACAATGTGCAGCCACAGGTCACGGAAGAAGACATTACGGGTGGGTGCATCATGCAGGCGGGCACATCCCCCGGTTGGCGGTTCGGTCGAGATCTTGCTTGGTATTGTAGTTTTCGCTGATGCCCCATGTAACATAGTTGCCGTCCTCCTTAGGGGGTTTTATCCAGGGTTGGTGTTGGTGCAAATTAGGTTTTGCTGGAGGAGGCAGAGTTCTCGCGCTGAGAATCGCTCCGTTTTTAGTATTTTCTCTAGCGCCGGCGTGAACTGTAAGAGTCCAGTCTTTGCCCTGTGCATGCGGCTGCAGGTGCGTGGTTCCCTTCAGATGCAGAGCTTCGCAAAACGGCTGGTTCCCCGTGCAGGTGCGGGCGCGGCGCTGTCAAGGGCGCTCCAGGGTGACAGAATTTGAAGGAGAAAGATGAGAGATCGTTGTCTGCGTCCTTTCAACGGTGTCTCCTACTTGTACGGTAGCGTACCTGTTTGGGATTGGTCAAAGCAGCTCTTTGAGGTTCGCCTCTGTAGCATTGATTCCAGCGGGTAGTGAGTGGATCACCGTGATTTCCCGCAGTCGCTGTATTGCTCGCCAGGGCTCGATGCCTTGGTCCTGACCTCTGCACTGAAACAGAGCCTCGGCAGCACAGATCCCAGAGTTGTCTTAGGTGTAGAAGTGCCCGGGAGGCCAAATTCTGCACTGAGGAAACTGCTGGACATCGTGGCTTTCGAAAAGGCAAGGCCCCTCTTGCTCGAGAACTGGGGCTTCGGAGATGTCGGTGACTTGCCTGGATCCCTTGGACGGAGTCACTCGGAGTCTCCACGAAAGCAGATAACTCCCCACGGAACTCAGGAAGCGAAGGTCCGGGTAAAGTTGACGGAGTTACGAAGCCCTCGGACTGAACTACGCCGCGTTAGGTTTAAGCAGGGTTGAGTTTGGAATTCATGGGCACCCGGAGACTGCCGCCGGCGGATCGCCCAGCCGTAGGCAGACGCGGTTTGCTGGTAAATGCAAGAGTGCGATTTTGCTCCACGGCCTCCTCTAGCATCATCTTGTATACTGGAGGAAGCACTCACAATTTTCCTCTCCTAAACACTCCCAGCACCCCGCACGCGAGGCCGGTGGTGACCACGGCCCTGTTCTGGGGCGGCGCTGGCACGGGGAAGACAGCGGCTGCAGAGGTTCCTAGCAAGTGTCCCGGGGGGAGTGATGGCGTATAGACTATTGTTGCTGCTCCTTCATGCCCGCTAGTACAAGTTTCCTTGTTAGCCATCGCTGCTGGTAGACTGCCTTTGCTGGAGAGAAACAGGGACGCTGAGTCGCTGGGCAGTGCTGTCCCATGCTGCTGCGGCATGGAGTCGCAACTGAATTGCTTGAGAAGTTTCCTGGTTGAACCACTACACCACTGTGAGCAAATCTGAACTTTGCATCGAGTGAAGGCTTTTTATCGTGAGGAATCCGTACCAGTACTGGGCCGTACAGTCTTCCTCTCCTACTTACCCCCAGCGCGCCAGCGAATTCTGTCTTGGAACGGTTGCTGTGAATCCTGGCCACGAGGGAAAGTCGAAGCCACGTGGTGTTGGTCCTCCCCTGCCTGCAAAAACTTCCTGGACTTGGCATCCTTGTCTAAACAAACCTGAGTGGCCAAGCAGTGTTCATCTTTCAGCATTCCAACAGCGAGGCTTTGGGCTTCGAGTTCGGACGGGCGCTGAAGGTCGTGAACTTCCCAGAGTTGGCCGGGTGAGCCATGCTTGAAGTAGCAACAGCATGGACAACATTGCTGCTACCGTGACTGAAGTACTGCTCCTTGGCCCTACAACGGCTCTACTGCCCTTGCTACGGCTCAGCTGCAGCTGCGGCTGCTATGCCTGCTCCTGCTCCTCCTTCCTCCTCCTACTCCTTCTGTTACCTCCTGCTCCTGCTCCTACTCCTCCTACTCCCAATCTTACCATCGCCGCTGCCAGCAGCAGCCCACTACCCCCACCCCAAACCCCCCCCCTCCCCCCAAACCCACCCCCACCAACTCCACCACTGCCGCCGCCGCCGCCCCCACCACCAC